GGGTTGCTGTGGACCCTCTCCTCAGGCAAGCAGTGACCTATCTGAAGAAGAGGTCCTTAGTGGTCCCGAAATGTTGTTCTCTTAGATGGCTTGCTTAAAACTTTTGCATTTAGTGATCCATTTCTACGTATGGACTTCCCAATTGACAGCACCATCCATCATTTCACTGTTGCACCCAGGAAACAGAGCAACATTTCGGGATGCTGAGGACCCCTTCTTCAGGCAAGTAGTGACCTACTTGAAGAAGGGGTCCTTCCCGGCCACAAAATGCTGTTCTCTAAAAAAGGTTTGCTCATAATTTTTGCAGTATTTTGGAGATGTTTCCACCCACTTTCTGTTGGTGTCGTCCAAGACAGATGCACATTTGCTAAAATCCCAACTCCATCAAAATGATCGCTTTAGTTTTGGATGGAAAGGGGAAGGGTTAAAATCTGCAGGTTTGTGCATGCCTGTTGGGGAGATCGTATGTAGAATCGTCACTAGCACACCATCAGCAGATGCTATATACAAACCATTTCTATAACGCCATAAAACAGAGCAGAGTTTCGGAATGCTGAGGACCCCTTCTTCAGACAAGTTGTGACCTACTTGAAGAAGGGGTCTTTCCCGGCCACGAAATTCTGTTCTCTAAAAAAGGTTTGCTCATAATTTTTGTAGTATTTTGGAGATGTTTCCCCCCACTTGCTGTTGGTGTCGTCCAAGACAGATGCACATTTGCTAAAATCCCAACTCCATCAAAATGATCGCTTTAGTTTTGGATGGAAAGGGGAAGGGTTAAAATCTGTAGGTTTGTGCATGCCTGTTGGGGAGATCGTATGTAGAATCGTCACTAGCACACCATCAGCAGATGCTATATACAAACCATTTCTATAACGCCATAAAACAGAGCAGAGTTTCGGGTTGCTGTGGACCCTCTCCTCAGGCAAGCAGTGACCTATCTGAAGAAGAGGTCCTTAGTGATCCCGAAATGTTGTTCTCTTAGATGGCTTGCTTATAACTTTTGCAGATAGTGATCCATTTCTACTTATGGACTTCCCAATTTGACAGCGCCATCCATCATTTCACTGTTGCACCCAGGAATTCATGGCCTACGGCTGTAAGGAGTGCAGTATTTTGCCGATCGGGGATGTTTCAACCGACTTTCTGTTGGTGTCACCCAAGACAGAAATAAACCAAAATGCTAAGAACGGGCCTTGAATTGGCTTTTGAGGCCTACCATGTAAAAAATATCATTTTCAGTACCTAGAATGCCTCTCTCTCTCAGTAGACACTCATTTGCAGACATTTCCCGGGGAGCTTTGCTTGACACATCCCTACTTAAATTTTACACTGCAGTGAAATCTTCATGGCTATCAGACTGGAAAGGCCTCACAATTCCTGTAAAGGAACCTGGAACATCTCATTTAACTGTTTCCTCAGTAATGATTGACCATTAACCCTATTAACTCATGTCTGGGAATGAGATCAGCAAAAAACCATTTGCCATTGCCAGCTCCCTGTTGGCTATGGAGTGTTAAACAAGCATCCACTGGGGTCTCACTTTAAATGCTGTGACAAATTTATGGCACCACTAAACCAGATTCTGGCTGGGGCTCCAGAGGAGGGAGGTGCAGATAGAGACACATTCCCACACACACAAAAGGCAGCTACCATTGCACAAACAAACACACATTGACCAAGCTGAAGGCCATAACAGAGGACCCATATCGAAATATTACAAGCTCAACTATTGTCTTTTAAAAGTTTATTTATTTATTATTTATTTCAGGTAGTTATATAGCGCCGTCAATTTACGCAGCACTTTTACATAAATATTGTACATTCACATCAGTCCCTAACCCTCAAGGGGCGTACAATCTAAGGTCCCTAACCCTCAAGGGGCGTACAATCTAAGGTCCCTAACCCTCAAGGGGCATACAATATAAGGTCCCTAACCCTCAAGGGGCGTACAATCTAAGGTTCCTAACCCTCAAGGGGTGTACAATCTAAGGTCCCTAACCCTCAAGGGGTGTACAATCTAAAGTCCCTAACCCTGAAGGGGTGTACAATCTAAGGTCCCTAACCCTCAAGGGGCGTACAATCTAAGGTCCCTAACCCTCAAGGGGCGTACAATCTAAGGTCCCTAACCCTCAAGGGGCGTACAATCTAAGGTCCCTAACCCTCAAGGGGCGTACAATCTAAGGTCCCTAACCCTCAAGGGCTGTACAATCTAAGGCCCCTAACCCTCAAGGGGCGTACAATCTAAGGCCCCTAACCCTCAAGGGGCGTATAATCTAAGTTCCCTAACCCTCAAGGAGCATACAATCTAAGGTCCCTAACCCTCAAGGAGCATACAATCTAAGGTCCCTAACTCACATTCATACATACACATACTAGGGCCAATTTAGACAGGAGCCAATTCACCTACCAGCATGTCTTTGGAGTGTGGGAGGGAACCGGAGTACCCAGAGGAAACCCACGCAGGCACAGGGAGAACATGCAAACTCCAGGCAGGTGGTGCCATGGCTGGGATTTGAACCCACGACCCTAGTACTGCCAGGCAGAAGTGCTAACCATTTAGCCACTGTGCTGCCCAAGTTGCTCTGCACTGCATCAAAAACAAGGATCTTGTTCTATAATACAGCTGATTACGCATTGCTGTGATGTCCTTGCACCCAGGTATTGGCCACATGGTCTCTACGGAGGACCCGATGTCCAGAAACTGTCCCTAAACCAGGGGCGGACTGACAACTCATGGGGCCCCCGGGTAATAGGGGATCACGGGGGGCTCCTGTGTCCTTGCCAAAACTCAAAAAAGCCTATGAAAAAAAGGTACCAGGGGCATCTCATGGGGCCCCCTACTGACCCCAGGGCCCTCAGGCAGTACCCGAGTTTCCAAATGGTCAGTCCGCCCCTGCCCTAAACAATCACATGACCAATGGCTCACGTTTACCTCTGGGTAGGTTTGCACTAGTTTTAACAACTGTGCCTTCTAGTATGTGGAATACATCAAAATGCGTGTTGATGTTCATCATATGTTTCAATCCAATATTACGTTTATTACATCACCACGATTAATGGTAAGCTCTACTATCCCACATGGAAGAAAAAGATATTTTAATATATTTTAAAAATACATTCGTAATATATTCTTCCCAATTATATTGACATCTATTTCAAATACTACAATTTTGGCCGTATTCAATATATTTCAAAAATATCTTTCAATATACTTGTGAATATATTATTAAAAATATATTCAGAACGCATGCTGAAATATATTTCAAAGTGTAATTTGGTAATGCATTTACAAGTATATTTAAAAATCTATGTTTAAATGCATATTTATTTATTTATTTCAGGTACTTATATAGCACTGTCAGTTTACGAAGCGCTTTACATATATATTGTACATTCACATCAGTCCCTAACCCTCAAGGGGCGTACAATCTAAGGTCCCTAACCCTCAAGGGGTGTACGATCTAAGGTTCCTAACCCTCAAGGGGTGTACAATCTAAGGTCCCTAACCCTCAAGGAGTGTACGATCTAAGGTCCCTAACCCTCAAGGGGCGTACAATCTAAGGTCCCTAACCCTCAAGGGGTGTACAATCTAAGGTCCTTAACCCTCAAGGAGTGTACGATCTAAGGTCCCTAACCCTCAAGGGGCGTACGATCTAAGGTCCCTAACCCTCAAGGGGCGTACAATCTAAGGTCCCTAACCCTCAAGGGGCGTACGATCTAAGGTCCCTAACCCTCAAGGGGCGTACGATCTAAGGTCCCTAACCCTCAAGGGGCGTACGATCTAAGGTCCCTAACCCTCAAGGGGCGTACGATCTAAGGTCCCTAACCCTCAAGGGGCGTACAATCTAAGGTCCCTAACCCTCAAGGGGCGTACGATCTAAGGTCCCTAACCCTCAAGGGGCGTACAATCTAAGGTCCCTAACCCTCAAGGGGCGTACGATCTAAGGTCTCTAACCCTCAAGGGGCGTACAATCTAAGGTCCCTAACCCTCAAGGGGCGTACAATCTAAGGTCCCTAACCCTCAAGGAGCGTACAATCTAAGGTCCCTAACCCTCAAGGGGTGTACAATCTAAGGTCCCTAACCCTCAAGGGGCGTACAATCTAAGGTCCCTAACCCTCAAGGGGCGTGCAATCTAAGGTCCCTAACCCTCAAGGGGCGTGCAATCTAAGGTCCCTAACCCTCGAGGGGCGTACAATCTAAGGTCCCTAACTCACATACATACACATACTAGGGCCAATTTAGACAGGAGCTAATTCACCTACCAGCCTGTCTTTGGAGTGTGGGAGGAAACCGGAGTACCCGGAGGAAACCCATGCATGCACAGGGAGAACATGCAAACTCCAGGCAGGAGGTGCCATGGCTGGGATTCGAACCAACGACCCTAGTACTGCCAGGCGGAAGTGCTAACCCATATTTTTGGAATACATATTTTAATTGACATTTTTGGAATACATGTTAAAATATATTTGTGTAGGCCAATATATTGTAAATATATGTCGCATGTACAATTTTTTTTCTAAACATATTGGAAATATATTTCTCTTCCATATGGGTAAGTACCTGAAATAAATAAAAACAAGTAAAAATATATGTTAAAATGACTTTTTAAAATATAAAAATATTTTTTTTTAAATATATTCTTTATATTTTTTATTAGCATATAAATAAGATATTTGTCCTCAAGTTTTGCAGTTCCCTGGGCATCCCATATATCCCTAGACTCCATCCATGTTGTTAACCCCTTAATAAAAAAACAACTAAAAACCAGTTCAAGGACTATTTACTAATTACAAGTGTGCAAGTGTGGAAAATGCGTGTTGCCTGGCAGTGCAGAGCTTAGGGGGCCCAAAAACTCAGTGGCCCGCAAGAGGGTAGTGCTACAGATTTTTGGCTCTTCCGTCTGTTTTGCCTTCTGCATCTTCTCTAATAGTTCAGTTTCTTCCCTTATGTCCTAATAGATTGTAAGCTCTTCCATCTCCTTAATTGTTCTTTTTCTGCTAATTTAAAGGGTGCCTCTAGACTGTCCATAAGTTTAAAGGGTGCCTCGGGACTGCCCATAATTTTAAAGGGTGCCTCGGGACTGTCCATAATTTTAAAGGGTGCCTCGGGACTGTCCATAATTTTAAAGGGTGCCTCGGGACTGTCCATCATTTTAAAGGGTGCCTCGGGACTGTCCATAATTTTAAAGGGTGCCTCGGGACTGTCCATAATTTTAAAGGGTGCCTCAGGACTGTCCATTATTTTAAAGGGTGCCTCAAGACTGTCCATAATTTTAAAGGGTGCCTCGGGACTGTCCATAATTTTAAAGGTGCCTCGGGAAGTCCATAATTTTAAAGGGTGCCTCGGGACTGTCCATAATTTTAAAGGGTGCCTCAGGACTGTCCATTATTTTAAAGGGTGCCTCAAGACTGTCCATTATTTTAAAGGGTGCCTCAAGACTGTCCATAATTTTAAAGGGTGCCTCAGGACCGTCCATAATTTTAAAGGGTGCCTCAGGACCGTCCATAATTTTAAAGGGGGCCTCAAGACTGCCCATAATTTTAAAGGGTGCCTCAAGACTGTCCATAATTTTAAAGGGTGCCTCAGGACCGTCCATAATTTTAAAGGGCTCCTCAGGACTGTCCATAATTTTAAAGGGTGCCTTGACTGAAAAAAGGTTGAGAAACACTGCTCTAATAGCATATTCCAACCTTCTGTACTGCCCCTTGTACCCTTATAAATTTAGAATTCATTAGATTTCCACAGTGACAGAACGCCAGGGCCCGGTCATGAATGCAACCTTTGTGACCCCGGTAGATCCGCCACAGGTGTCAGTCGGTTTTTATTTTTGTTATTGTCATTTTTTTAAATATTTATTACCAATTTATTTATTTATTTTACAATTTCATTTTTTATTATTTAAAAAAAAAAATTTAGGACCCCTTTGGGGAGCTTTTTGTGAAATATCAGGGGTCTAAACAGACCTTTGATGTTTCACCTTTGAGACAGAGAAAGGAGATTGAGGATACTTCAGTCTCCATCTCTGCGGCCTCAGAAGCACAGAATGAATGAACATGAATGTCTCTGTACAGAGCTTTCCTTTCATTCATAAACTGAAGCATAACAAACACAGTTTACTATGCCTCAGCTATGAATGAATTTAAAAAAACAAAAACCAGAGCTAGTGAACGGTAGGGATCACTGACTCTTTTCATGTAGGTGGGGGCCAGTAAATAACACATCTCCACTCTCCATCCTGACACTATTCCCCACAGCAGCCAGCAGGAGGTGAGAGGGGGAAACATGGCTGGACCAAGGGAGCACACAGGAGCCCTGGGCAGCAGGACAGGGATAGGGAGGCGGTGGGGGTAGATGTAGAGTAACCAATGCCCTCCATTTCCCTCCTGCAGCTGCTGAATGTCTGCGGGAGAAAGAGAAGTGGGCATTCAGCCGCTCTATGGAGGGATTGGTTCCTCTACATGCTGCCGCCCCTCTTATCCAGGTGTACGGAGGGAATGGGGGCGGGTCCAAATCATGACCCCCATGACCCCTGTACTCATTCTCCTGCTACTAAACACATTTGGGATGAATTGGATAACCGATGTCAAGCAAGGTGGTTTTTTTTTTTCCAACATCATTACCTGACTTCAAAAATGCATTTTTTGGCTAGATGGGCACAAATTCCACCAGACACATATCAAAATCATGTGAAAAGCCTTCCCAGAACAGTGGAAGCAGCTACAGCTCCGAAGAAGGAGGTGGGAAGCTTCATATTATTTCCCACGGTTTTATAATGGGATGTCCAACAAGCTCATATGCTGTAGGTATGATAGTCAGATGTGACTTGGTTTGAGAAGTTTGGCGTGGAGGAGCTTGAGTGGTCTGCATAGGACACTGAGGTCAACTGAATTAAATGACTTTGGATGAACCTGAACAATGATTTTAGGCTAGGTCTTCTTGCCCAACATCTGTAACTGACCTCACAAATGCTTTTTTGGCTGAACAGGCACAAATTTCTAAAGATGCGCGCCAAAGTCTTGTGGAAAGGCTTCTCCAATGAGTGGATGCTGTTTTGGCCCTGGGGTTGGGCAAGCTCCATATTAATGTCCAGATTGTGAAATTTTATACCCTCAATATTGCTCCTATATACCCTAACAGATTACAAGATCTTCCACCTTCTGCATTCTCTCTTATACTTTAAAAAAACATTCCAGGTATGGATGTGGTCCAGCTTGAACCAATGTAACTATGCATCAGGGGAGGACTGACCATTTGGTAACTCGGGCACTGCCCGAGGGCCCGGGGTCAGTAGGGGGCCCCATGAGATGCCCCTGGTACCTTTTTCATAGGCTCTTTTGAGTTTGGGCAAGGACACAAGGGCCCCATGATCCCCTATTGCCCGGGGGCCCCATGAGTTGTCAGTCTGCCCCTGCTATGCATATATCATATATATCCCATGGGATCCCTCTAGAACAGTGGTCTCCAAACTGCTGCCTGGGGGGTGAATGTGGCCCTTTGCTTGCCTTTATCCGGCACTATTCCTCCTTCTGTCACCAACTATGGGGGCATATTTGTTGTCGCTGACACCAACAATGGAGTACTGTTCCTCCCATTGATACCAATGATGGGCACCCTTAAACCCACAGACACCAATGATGTAATACTAGTCCTCCCACTGCCACCAACTATGGGGCACTATTCCTCACAGTGATACCAATGATGGGGCACTATTCCTCACAGTGATACCAATGATGGGGCACTATTCCTCCCAGTGATACCAATAATGGGGCACTATTCATCCCATTGACACCAATGATGGAGCACTATTCATCCCATTGACACCAATGATGGGGCACTATTCCTCCCACTGACACCAACGATGAGGCATTATTCCTTCCTCTGACATCAATGATGGGGCACTATTCCTCCCACTGACACCAATGATGGGGCACAATTTCTCCCACTGACACCAATGATGGGGCACTATTCCTCTTACTAATAACAATGATGGGGCACTATTCCTCCCACTGACACCAACGATGGGGCATTATTCCTTCCAATGACACCAATGATGGGACACTATTCCTCCCACTGATACCAATGATGGGGCACTATTCCTCCCACTGACACCAACGATGGGGCATTATTCCTTCCTCTGACACCAATGATGGGACACTATTCCTCCCTCTGACACCAATGATGGGGCACTATTCCTCCCACTAACTCCAACTATGGGGCACTATTCCTCCCACTAACTCCAACTATGGGGCACTATTCCTCCCACTGACACCAGAACATTTTCTACCCCCACTGGCCACAATCTAGCCCCTAAAATCTGAAGGACGGTAAACTGGCCCTTTGCATAGAAAGTTTGGGAGACCCCTGCTCTAGAAGCTAGAAATCACTGTAGTAGACATGACAACTCCAGTGATCGACACTAGCTAACTAACATCTGAATGGTGCCTATATGCCGAATGGGTGACCTCAACATAGGACCCGAAAGCTAGTGGAGATCATTGGAGTAGCAATGTCTACTAAAGTGATTTCCAGTTTCCAGGGGGATCCCACAGCTATGGTATATGCATAGTTACATTGCAAACAAACAAAGGATTTCCCAGCAACACTTACCAGCCAGCCTGCAAAACAACCAACAAATGCCTTTAATCTATCCATTGATATATGTGCTCCTACTCTGGAGGCTCTTGAAATTTTAGAGTTAGGGCCACAGTATACAGGGCACCCTTGACATGGGACTGTGGCTTACGGATGAATTTGCAAATGTGTGCACACAAAACCCTCTGTTTTTAAACTGCTAGAAAGGGGCAGATTGGTTGTTTTGCAGACTGGCTGGTAAGTGTTGCTGGGAAATCCTTTGTTTGCGATCTGCATTGCCCTTCCATGTGCACCTTATAGGTTTGGACGGTTGCCATTTTTTGTGCAGGCATAGTTACATGGTCCAAGCTGAACCGATGCAACAATGTAAAAATCCATAGCTAGAATTATTATTTTATAGATTAAAGGCACTTCTACCTTCCCACCTTCACCAAACTGTTAGACAGGGCCAGATTGGTTGTTTTGCAGGCTGGCTGGTAAGTGTTGCTGGGAAATCCTTTGTTTGCGATCTGCATTGCCCTTCCATGTGCACCTTATAGGTTTGGACGGTTGCCATTTTTTGTGCAGGCATAGTTACGTGGTCCAAGCTGAACCGATGCAACAATGTAAAAATCCATAGCTGGAATTATTATTTTATAGATTAAGGCACTTCTACCTTCCCACCTTCACCAAACTGCTAGACAGGGCCAGATTGGTTGTTTTGCAGGCTGGCTGGTAAGTGTTGCTGGGAAATCCTTTGTTTCTGATGTGCATTGCCCTTACATGTGCACCTTATAGGTTTGGACGGTTGCCATTTTTTGTGCAGGCATAGTTACATGGTCCAAGCTGAACCGATGCAACAATGTAAAAATCCATAGCTGGAATTATTCTTTTACAGATTAAAGGCACTTCTACCTTCCCACCTTCACCAAACTGTTAGACAGGGCCAGATTGGTTGTTTTGCAGGCTGGCTGGTAAGTGTTGCTGGGAAATCCTTTGTTTGCGATCTGTATTGCCCTTCCATGTGCACCTTATAGGTTTGGACGGTTGACATTTTTTGTGCAGGCATAGTTACATGGTCCAAGCTGGACCGATGCAACAATGTAAAAATCCATAGCTGGAATTATTATTTTATAGATTAAAGGCACTTCTACCTTCTGTAACCTCTTATACTTTCTGTATTACTCTCATATACTCCAATAATTTGCCATCATGGGAAAAGGATAGATTTACTTTATTCGTGTGCTTTAAGGTACACGGAAAAAAAAAAGTGTCAGTTTTGGCATATTACTGCAAAATGGAGTTCATTCAACTGGTCTGTGCCTGGTTTGAAGTCAATCTAACAATAGGTAGAATTTGGCGCAAGATGATGACATCAACATTTGAATGCCAGCTTGAGCGTTTGACATCTTTCTCTGTTTTGAATTAAATGCAAAGGATTAGGAGGACAATCGCCCTACCTACGGCGTAGGCCCTACAACAACTGTGACGACGGTCTAGAAATATTTCCCTTGTCAAATAGAAGACCATTTTTTTGGGGGCGTTTGTTCCTGTGTTGTGAAAAAAGAAGACATGAAGCTGTGAAGGAATTCTATTCCGGCATTGTTTGTGTTTGTGCCTCAAGGTTTGCATGTTGTGGCCCCTTTTCACGGGATTTTTGTTTCACCAGATGAGCTGTGTTTTGGTCAGTTTTGATGGGCCTTTTTCTGCTGGCCTTGCATCTTCCATTGACAGGCCTGTAGGATGGAGCCTGTCAGCCATGTCAAGGCCTTCACAATGAAAACCTTTTTTCCTGTCCAGGAGGTGAAAGGATTCCATTCAATGTGGACAAAAAACCAGGAGACAAAAAGAGAAATTTTGCAGATTCTCCTCAAAGGCCACCTGACAATGGGGAGGAAGAGGGGGAATCTCTTGTTTTGTGTTGTGCTGCAGAACTTTTGTTTGGTGGTGAGGACAAAAAAAAATAAAAATAACCAGAGAGACAATACCAAAAAACACAAAATAAAAAAAAAGGGTGAGGATGAACAAAACAGCTCTTAAAGATTCCAGCCCTAGTGTGATGGCGATA